GCAACTCCTTAGATTTTGTGATAGAGTTCGTACGACATTGTGAGAGAAGAAAGAGAAAAGGAGGTGGCAAGGTGCGACACAGCTGACAGTTCGAAAGAATAAAGCTGTAAAGAACTAATGTGTATTCATTAGCGGTACGACACTAGCACCTCCGCGTCTTTTGCACGCACGCCTTGGTCCCCCGCACCTCGACCGCCCCTTTCACAACACAGTGACGTGGTACAATCTAGGCATTTTAAAGAAGAAATCTTGTCGGTTTGTGCACGTAATAATTTGCCATAACAACTTTGGCTTTCAAAAAAATGCAGTGTTTGTTACTAAATAGGGGTTCTTCCCATTTGTCCTGGTTGCGCCTAATCGTTTAAAACTTTACGGGGTTGGTACAACTATGGTTAACTGTTACCCCCTCAGCTCATAATTGTTTGTATTTATTAGAGTGTATTAGCTATACTAATAATAATTTAGATTATAGTGTTGAAATCCATGTCCGGACAACATTAAATTACACAACATTACAAGGTAAATGCATGTCAAAAAAATAATTTTATAATAAATACCTTGCATTCAAAATTAATTCAATGATCTCACTTAAATTGATTTTCGTATTGAAATGTTTCAGGGTTTCCATTCTCACGGGCACCAATCTTAGAAGTGGATGGAGTGACCATTGGAGAAAGTCAAGCCATAGCCAGATTTCTAGCAAGACGACATGGTAGGGGATGTTGGAAGAATCCAATGTGACTATAATTGTTGCGGGGAATATAATTATACTTTAAAACCCCTGTTACTCATCGCTCACTTACATAAGTCGTGCTGCTATATATTAACCATTTTTTTTAATCGCTTAAAGTACTACCGGGAAAGGTCAAACAAAGATTGATGTGAACATTGAATAGATCATTAATTTATTTCGACGGACAGTAATCAAATAACGTAAATTAAAGACTGATTCCAGTTACACAATAATGAATTGTCTGTTATGTAGGACATACAGAATCCATGACACCTTTCATGAAACGCAAGTAGAGCAAAAATGGCATTGACATTTATATCTATATTGATTGCGCAAGTCGTTTAATGTTTACATCAAAGAAAATATTTCGCTGGATGAATTAATTTTGTCCTATGTGAATATCAAACTAAAATATCTATACATTGCAATGAATCTCTGTATTGACCAATGCAACTTAGTATTATTTTGCCTCTTGTCTCACAAATAAATATACAATATATAAATAGCCCTATTGCCCCTGATTGCGCAGTTAGATCGAAGAATAGATTTCACTGCTTGGATTAATTTTATTTCATGTCAATATCAAATTTGAATGCATTGAATTGACTCCCTATGTTATTATGAGTTTGGTCTAAAGAATAAATATACATATAATATCAATATTTAAATGTATTGACTACACAGGTTTATATGCGGATGATGCATTTGACCAAGCAAAGATCGACATGATAACAGACACAATGAAAGACATATTTAAATGGCTGGCAGAGATATTTTTCGCCAAAGAAAAAAAGCAAGAATTGATGGACAAATATTATAACGACGCCTTCCCTTTGTTATTACAAGGACTTGAACGTGTATTGAAAGAAAACAATGGTGGTGATGGATACTTTGTCGGAGATAAGGTAGGCTAAATACTTCGAATATTATAACACTATTGGTCATCTGCCTCATTGTCTGTGTAATTATTTCTTCAATTGCACAATTGGGTCTATCTGAATGTAGGTTAATAATCGAAACAGCTGTTTTGTATATGCATATATGGTAACATATACAATTGCATATGTAAAATAAGTAACATTCACATTGATGGGTCATGTATATGTGAATTAGTAATTAAACACTTTAGTGAATAAGTGTGCATTTCTCATTGTTATCTTCAGGTCACATTGGCTGACTTAGCATTTATTGACACATGCTTCCCAATGGTTGAGTGGAGACCGGAAGTCCTGAAAGATTATCCCAAGCTAAATGCGTTGAAGCAGCGTGTGGAGAGTCGTCCTAGAATTGCAGAGTGGATGAAAAAGAGACCAGTGTACGTCTTTTGATAATGCTTTGTATAAACGGCTCGCTAGATTAAATTACTATTGTTGCAGTATCTGTCTTAATCTATTTTAAAATTAAAGTCATTAAGCTATATGGTATATATTAAATATACACTCAATGAGAATTTACAAATTTATATTTGTCTGTAATTATTGTATTTACTTTTATTTGTAATTA